GCGGGACACATGTTGGTCGAAGGAGTGCATCCCGTGCGAGCTGGAACCATGTGTTTTCACGTGTCCAGGCCACCCAAGGGGGTATCTAACCTGGTGGTCCCGAGCTGGAACCACGTGTTTTTTTTGTCCAGGCAACACAAGTGGGGTATTTGACATGGCGGTCCCGAGCTGGAACCACGTGTTTTCACGTGTCCAGGCCACCGAGGTGGGTATCGAACATGGTGGTCCCGAGCTGGCACCTGAACATATCCAGGCCACAGGGGTGTATCTGACATGGTGTTCCCGAGCTGGTTGTCCCGAGCTGGAAGCACGTGTGCGTACATGTCCAGGCACCCATATGGGGATATCTAACATGGTTGCCCCGAGCTGGAACCCAGGGGGGTATCTAACATGCTTGTCCCGAGCTGGAACCACGTGTTTTCACGTGTCCAGGCCACCCAAGGGGATATCTAACTTGGTCGTCCCGAGCTTGAACCACGTGTTTTCACGTAACCAGACCAGACAGGGGGGTATCTAACATGACTGTCCCTAGCAAGGACCACGTGTTCTTACGTATCCAGGCTACCCCCCGGTGTATCTAACATCGCTGTCCCGAGCTGGCACCAAGTGTTTCACGGGTCCAGGCCACACAGGGGGATGTCTAGCATGGCTGTCAAGAGCAAAGACCACGTGTTTTAACGTGTCCAGGCCACCCAAGGGCGTATCTAACATGGTTGCCCAGCGCTGGTCCCACATGTTTTTACGTGTCCAGGCCACCCAAGGGGGTATCTAACATGATTGTCCCGAATTGGAACCAAGTGGTTTTACGTGTCCAGGCCGCCCAGGGGGGTATTTGACGTTGCGGAGCCAGGTGATTTAACGTGTCCAGACCACCCTGGGGGTATCCTATATGGGCCTCCTGTTCTGTCTTGGGATATGTGCTCAGGGAGCGCTTTTCGCTTCCCTCCGCCCCCCAGGAGGCCCCAGGAGGCTCGAGAAGCGTGAAAACATATCGGATCCTAACGCCCCAGGGCGGGACAAGCGTGAAAACACATGGGCTCCTAACGCCCCTGGGCGGGGGAAGCGCGAAAACACATGGGTTCTAACGCTCCAGGGCGGGACAAACGTGAAAACACATGGGTTCCGAATGCCCCAGGGCGGGAGATACGTGAAAACACATGGGTTCCTAACGCCCCAGGGCGGGGCAAGCCTGAAAACATATGGTTCCTAAAGCCCCAGTGCGGGGGAAGTGTGAACACACATGGGTTCCACAACGCTCTGGGGCAGCTACTATGTGCTCAGGCAGCTCGGGCTCAAGATCCAGATCAGTTCGGTCAGGACTCGGATGCAAAGAAGGACTCGACCCACAACACTACTATAGAACACAATCGCGGCATGGCACATCGCAGTTCAGCACGGCGCAGCGCAGCGCAGCCCTCGGCACGGTACATCGAGATCGGTAGGCTCAGCATTGCTTTTGCCCGTCGCCTAATCAAGTGTATTTGAAACGTTGCCTTACATTCCTTTCCGGGTTCGTGGGTCGATCATGTTCCCGGGAAGGGCGTGGGCCCAAGATTTTCTTTTGGTATTGTTTTGTTTCCCCCCGGCTCCCGGCCAGCGAAATTATTTGCTATAAATAGCAAAATCAAGTCCCACTCGGCGTGGAAAAATTGCGGATGTCCCTGGCGAAACGCTGGTGTTTGAAATCCCGTTCGATAAATCACAGGATGCGGGACACATGTGTGCAAGGGGCACGAACCCGAGTATATTTTCATGCGTTCCCATAGATTGGCCCTCTCCAGGGCCACAAATCCGTGTGTTGTTTTACGTGTGTTTCTGTAGATTGGCCTCTCCAGGATGCCCCACGAGGTCCCAAGACACCCAGGGAGGTATCTAACATGGTTGTCCCGAGTTGGAACCACGTGTTCGTACGTGTCCAGGCCACCCAGTGGGGTATCTAACATGATTGCCCCGAACTGGAACCACCACCCAAGGGGGTATCTAACATGATTGTCCCGAGCAAGGACCGCGTGTTTTAACGTGTCCAGGCCACTCAGGGGCGTATCAAACATGGTTGTCCCAGGCTGGCACCATGTGTTTTTACGTGTCCAGGCCACCCAGGGGGGTAACTAACATGGTTGTCCCGAGCAAGGACCATGGTTTTACGTGTCCAGGCCACCCAAGGGTGTATCTAACATGGTTGTCCCGAGCAAACACCATGTGTTTTTACGTGTCCAGGCCACACAGAGGGTATCTCACATGGTTGCCCAGAGCTGGATCCATGTGTTTTTGCGCGTCCGGTTGAAATTCATCCGGTTTTAATTCGTCCGGTTTAAATTCATCGGGTTTAAACTCATCCGGTTCAACTCATACGATTTGAATTCGTCCTGTTAAAACTCATCCGGTTTTAATTCGCCCGTTGAAAATCATCCGGTTTTTTCGTCCGGCTTAAATTCATCCAACTTTAATTCTTCCGGTTTAAATTGTTGACGCTTCGCGTATCCCCACCAGCCCATCCAGAAACGATGCTCAGGGGAGTTGAGGTGATCAGGGAAGTCGGGGAGCATGCAGAATAACAAAGGGCGGGGGAAGCTGTCACAGACCCCGAGAGGGGGAGGATGGAAGAGGAGTCGTCGTCGTCGTCGTCGTCGTCGGAGGAGGAGGAGGAGGAGGGGGAAGAGGAGGAGGAGGAGGAGGAGGAGGAGGACGGAGAAGGAGGAAGAATCGGAGGAGGAGGAGGAGGAGGGGAAGGAGCTTCTTGGGGGTCTTTTGAGGGCCTCTTGGAGGGCTTTTTGGGCGCCTTGGGGCATCTTGGGCGCCTCTTGGGACCCTCTTGAGGCGCTCTGGGGAGCCTTCGGGGCGCTTTTGGGGCCATCTTGGAGGGAGTCGATCAAACAAGAGGGGGGGTTTAATTAGCGTCCCCCCTCGGAAGCCCCTAAAATCGCCTCTTGGACCCCTCTTGGAACGCTCTTGGAGTGCTCTTGGGCGCTCTTGGGGCCGTCTTGGGGCTCTTTTGGGGCTCTCTTGGGGCCCTCTTGGGCCATCTTGGAGCCATCTCCAGGCCTCGGATGGCCATCGGAAGCGAAAAGGCGAGAAAGCAAAAATCATTGATTTTCCTTAGGTTTTGGGACGATTTTGGCCTCTTCGGGGCCTCCTTGGGGAGCTGTTTGGCCACTTGGAGTTATCTTGGGGCCGTCTTTGGGCTTCTTGGAACCATCTTAGGAGCCATCGTGAGCGATCTTGCGCTATCTTGAGCCATCTTGGAGCTCATCTTGGGTTCTCTGAGGCGCTCTTGGAGCCGTCTTGGGCCATCTTGGACGCTCTAACTACCCGCGGCCCCCCCCGTCCAGGTCCAGGGGAGGGGGTAGGGGGAGGGGTAAACCCCTCCCCAAGGGGGAAGAGGGAGGGGTGGAAGAGGATCTGCTCTAGACCACCTACGCCCAGAGGGCTGGTGGGATTCATCCGGTTTTACTTCGTCCGGTTTAAGTTCATCCGGTTTTCATCCGCCCAGCTTCCACATGAATCACGCAAAACAGAGCGGACGAAACCGAAGCGGACGAAACAAAAGCGGACGAAACAAAAGCGGACGAAACAAAAGCGGACGAAACAAAAGCGGATGAAACAAGAGCGGACGAAACAAGAGCGGACGAAACAAAAGCGGACGAAACAAAAGCGGACGAAACAAAAGCGGACGAAACAACAGCGGACGAAACAAAAGCGGACGAAACGAAAGACGGACGAAACAAAAGACGGACGAAACAACATCGGATGAAACAAAAGCGGACGAAACAAAAGCGGACGAAACAAGAGCGGACGAAACAAAAGCGGACGAAACAAAAGCGGACGAAACAAAAGCGGATGAAACAAAACTACACCGGCGTGGAGGGGTAGGGGGCAGGGTGGCGGCGGGGCGCCGCGCCAAGCCAGGCGGCCTGAGGTAGAGGAAGTGAGGGCTGGCTCGTCCCGTCTGTGTCGTGTCCTGGGGCTTCGGTGTCGAGCACGGGTCCGCGGGGCGGGTCGGCCTACGGGGCGGCGTGCGCGCGAGGGCCGCGGCTCGTCGACCGCGCCCGCGGCCCGCCATGTGGGAGTGAGCCTCGCCCCCCGCGGCGCCGTCACGAACCGTCACGAACCGTCGTCGTCGTCGTCGTCGTCGTCGTCATTGCTGACAAATGTCTCAGCGTTTTTCACTCCGTTTGGGCCTCTGGGAGATTTCTCGTCGCCGCGGATCGTTCCGCCTCGACACTCCAGCGGCAGCGCGCCCCAGGAGAGGTCCAGGGGGGCGCTATGCCGCCGATGTGGAGGCTTCGGAGCCTCTGGAAGGGGAGTGGAAAGAGGGGGGCGAGGCAAGCTAGGCGCGCTCGCGCTATGCATGCCATCCCACCCCTCCCACCCATCCCTTCCCGGTGCGCTGACTGTTCTATATCCGCCGACGGATGTCATAGCAGACCGTGAGGGCGAGGAGAGGGAAAGCCAGGACCGGCTCCATGTAAGGGTGACCTGTCGCCAAGGGTGACCTTGATGCGCCGCTTTCGCGGGGGGGGGGCGCGCGCCACCCCAAGAGAGCACCGCCTCCAGGCGCCCCCTCGGAGGCGCCTGAGAGGGTGCCCCCCCCCAGCGCCCGCGGCCTGGCGTGAGAAGGTCACCGCGGCGGGACGGCACCCCTTATAGGAGCAGGGCGAGATGAGACAACGGCAACTCAAAATCGATCCCCAGACCCTTTCTGGTGTCCAGACGCACCAGTTTCCCGAGCTGCGTCCAGTCGTGGCGACGAGGGCCCCCCGAAGGCCAATTACCCTTGCCTCCACTGGCCCTCCCTTTAGATCCGGCGCCACGAAACATTGCAGCACAGCATCGTGAACAATCACGATCGTCGCCCTATAGACCAAATCTGTCTGCGGCATCTCCCGAACCCGGTCACCTTATGAAGGTCCCGGGGCCCGAAGTAGCTCGAGCGAAAAGGCCAGGTGTAATAAAAAATGCGACGCCAGGCTGCAGGGCCACCGACAAGATCCCTGCCCCGCCTTGCGCTTCGGCGCCCGGGGCGGCGGCGGCGGCATCCGCTCCGTCCGCGCGGGCTCCGCGGGCTCCGCTGCGGGCTCCTCGGCGGCGTCGCCGCTGGTTGGGCGGGCTCCGCGGGCTCCGCGGCCCCGGGCCGGCGGCATCGGCACCGACCGCGGCGCCACGGGCAGTTTCGCCTTCGACGACGGCCACAGCGTTGGAACGGTAGTCGAAAATCGATCCAGCGGAGGGCGCGGTGGAGGGCGAGGCAAAGGACCGACTCGAACTGGTCGGTCGAGTCCACGATTGATCCATTGCATCGCTCGAGTCGGATCGCAGGCTTACAGTTGGCACATACGACCAGCAATCTTGCAATACGAAATTATGGGGCACAGTCTTCGTCAATCTTCGAGGGCCCCGAGGTGTCCCAGTGCTTCTGTGGGTCCCAGGGGCCATCGAGGGAAACTTCCGAGGGCACCTGCTTGCAGGCCGATTTCTTATTTGACGTGCCTCCTGCGCGTTTGAACGGCAATCGTAAATCGACCCGATCGAGCGCGCGCAGTCGAGGTGTCAATCCAGCGGAGGGCGCGACGCTCCCTTCTGCCCACAGATTACATCGGCGCGGAGGGCGATGCAACTGGCCAGATCGAGCTGGTCGATCGAGTCCACGATGGATCAGAGGTGTCGCTCGAGTCGGACCGAAGACGTAGAACAAAAACTACATAAGGATCGTTTTGCTTCGAGCGATCCTCACCCGAGAACGCGATCCGGGATCCCCAGGGAGCATCGGCACACTTTGGGCCTGGCGGCCGTGGCATGCAACCATCATTCGTCGAAGAACACCAGCACACTTTGGGCCTGGCGGTCGCGGTACGCAGGGTGTGCGAGGCAGGTCGGGAGCTCTTGTCTTTCAATCTAGCAGCCCGAACCTGTCGGGTGGGGAATGCACGTTCGGAGATCCGCGCGGATTTGGATTTCCCGCGTCGGCGTACACCCAACCTCCCATTGGCGTGAGACGGGTGCCAGGGGCAGCTCCGAAGGCGTTGCCAGGGAGGCCCATTGCCGACCCGATATATCCACGCGGGCCTCCGAAAGTTTCGGTTTGTTGGCGGCGCAGGCGGCGCGCACAAGGGGGTTGTTCGATGGGGGGCGGCCTTCTAAGAAGGGGACATCTTAGCTAATGAGAACCCCTCTTTGAAGCCCACTGGTTTTTCTAACATGGCCCCTGCTGTCCACGGGAAGCCCCCCGCCTTCTCAGCACGCGGCGCTACACCTTTGTGCGCACCGCCACATTTATGCCGATTTGGGGAAACAAGAAAGTACCCATACGCTACACTCCAAAAACCTCTCCCGGGGTGCGTTCTGACCATTTCTCCGACGCGAATCCAATCGCGGCGACGAGGGAGGGTGCCAGTACCAGTATCTTTCCCCCGAGACTTGTGCTCTTCGAACAGCTGCCCTGGCCTTGAACAGGCCCGCCAGCGGGGCGGCGTCCTCGGCGTCATCCGACATGTCGTCGTCGACGGCGGAGCTGCTGCGGCGCTCGGCGGCGCTGACGCGCTGGGCTGGCAGGCGCCCGGCAGCCTCCTCAGTCGCCTCGGCCTCAGGGTCACGCGGCTGGGCGGGCGACAACCGACCCTGAAAACCTTGGATCCAGAAATGTTGACGCTTCGCGTCTACTCTGCCGCCTTACTCCAGCCTTCCGCTGGCGGGCCCGCCGCCGCTTTGCCTCCGCTGCCTTCCGTCGTCTTCCGCCGAGGGCGAGAGGCGCCAGAAGCGGGGCATTTCTGGAACGCCTTACGTAATTGGCATGATGACGGTTCCTGCTTTCTTTTCATCCCGAGGCGCTCTTGACACTCCTGGGGCCTAGCCAGGCCACCCAGAGGCCAAACATGATGAAAGCCATCTCGTATTGAAATAATTCGCAATGAAGCAGGGTCTACGGTCGGGGGTCAAAAACCGTCCCCTGGACCCGTCCCAGGAGGCGCTTTTTCACCCCCGAACGTAGAGCTTCTCGAATTGCGAGTTATTCCGATGGGGCAATTGTGACGTCAGAAAACCTCGACCCTCAAACCTCGAGGGAGCCTTTCGCCTCTCTCGCCCTCGCCCTCCCAGTTTCCACTTTGGTGCTTGGAGGAGGGAGGTTAGTGCATCATGACCGGAGGCTTACGTGCAGACGAGGAAGCCTTGGAAGATGGGATCATAAGATCTGGTGCGTAAATTTGATGGCCCCAGCCAAGGTATCCACGCTCCCGTAGTCCTTTCCAAGGTTCCCTTCTGAGCCCGTTCGCACTTCCGACAAGGTGGTGTGAACTTGGCCCGTTCGGCAGCCGAACGGGCTAAGTTCCGTGCCCACTCGGTGGAGGAATGAGCACGGACGCTGCGCGGGCTCAGAAAGGAACCCTGGGCCAGAGCTCCCGACCCCTTCCCCAGTGGCGAATCCGCGTCGAACCCACGCCGAATCCACATCGGATCGGCGTCGAACCCATGTGGGATGCGTCAGGGCAAGGGCGCCTAATTACGGCAGTGCGCCCACAGCAAGGGACACTCACGGCAAAGGGCAAGGGCAAGCAAGGTCCCCCCGAAGATGCAATGGCACTGACCCTCGCCCCTCTCTTCCAAACTGGGAGGGGCTCAAAATATACGCCAAGTCGTCTGACCGGCCAAGGGGCTGGGTGCATAGACCCCCCAGCTTCCCAACCTGTGGGATGCTGGGGCGTCTATGACATCATTCCATCGCGGAATGCTTGCTCCTCTTCCTCGGCATGCTGATGTGGAACATCACACGACTCTGTGACAACCAATGAATATCACACGTTGTTTAGCCAAGCAGTCATCTTAAGACAAGCAGTGATCAGAAAACACGTTTTTCATGACAACCCCTGATCGCTGCACCTGCCACCCCCCTGCCCGCGGGCCTCCGCAGCGAAAACGGGCACCCCGTCATCGAGGCCGAGGCCGCCGTCCCCCTGGGCACGGCGCGGGGGCAGTCGGCCCCGGCAGATCTGCTGCCGCAGCGGGCACGCGTGCTCTGGGGGGTGACGGGCGCAGGATGGGGCTGGGAGCACCATGGTGGTGGTGGCCACTGCGTAAGGGGAACAAGCCCCGAGCAGAGCTACTGGTTGTCATGAAAAGCCAATGCGTTTTTAATGACAACCGCTGCGTGAGGAAAACAAGCCCCGAACAGAGCTACACGCACCACGCCCACGATGACGCTGGTGGCGACGACGCAGACGAGGCACGCTGACGATCCGCACAAAGCACGGACTTCGGAAAGGGCCCACAATGCGAGGTTTGGTACACAGCACGTCGGAGGGGCAAGGGAAGAGGATAGAATCAGAAACAGTAGTTGGCATAATCATTAACCTTCCGAGGTTCGTGCGGATTTCATGAATGGAGCGCGCCAGGGAGGGCCACAGAGGCGCCGCCAGGGGGGCCGAGCGCCGATCCAAGAAATATGCGCGGAGCTCCAGAAGCTGAACATTTATGCAGCTGTGTCTGAGAGAGCGCGAGCAAACAGCAGCGTCCACCCAAGCACGTACCCACATCGGACGCACAGCAATGCGGCCACGAGCGGGAGAGGCAGCAGCCTCAGACAACTCACGAATCTGGGTTAGCATGAACGCTCGGCCACTACTCTGCGCAGGCATCAAGCCCACCCAAACTGCAAACCAAGTGGAAAGGCAAAATTAACGATACATACAAAAACCATGTTTCCGCAAAGCATCTAACACGTAAATCCAAGTTTTGGAGCGCGGTCCGAAAATGCACATTCCAAAAAACCCACGTTGGCCACACGACCTATCCAAAACGCATCCGACGCGTGCATTCAAGAAGGAGAGACAACGGCGGTCGTCTGCCGTGAGGCCCGGTTTGCGGCAGACAACTCTGTGGACAACTTTCGCGCAAGGGAAAGGGGGGAGGCCTGCCTCTTCCCCTCCGGGGGGGGGGGGTCGAAGAGGGGAGGGAAGAAGGCGGGAGAGCTACAAGGCTTCCCGAAGGATTTCTACGGATTCGAACCCAGATCTCCAGAGATCCCATTCGGGAGTTCTAATGGTCAGAACTCATGTCCCTTGGGTCTCCCCTGAGACTTCTCGAAATCTGACCCAAATCTTGATAGATCCCCCCGGGGAATTCCAGATATCCCCTTTTCCCCCACTTGGCGCCGCGTTCGCGCGCACGCGCGAGAAAACAGTTGTATACTTCATCGTATCTATACAGATATGAACACATATGTACACATGATACGGGGGAAAAAACAACTAATGATCTTGTTAAGGTTATACGGCTATGGGGCTATAGGGCTATAAGGCTCTGGGGCTATAGGGCTATATGAGGCTATAAGGCTATAGGGCTATAGGGTTATAGGGCTATAGGGCTATAGGGCTATACGGCTGTAAGGCTAGAAGGCTATAGGGCTACCGGGCATCCGGGCGTGCCGCCGAAATCGGCGCCACAGCTAACCGAACCATATGAGTCCACTAGGACCCCTACAGACGCAAGCTCTGATTGGGAAACTAACATAACTGTGCGTGCTCTCACGTTAGGGCCCAACATACAAAAGAGCCAGCTGGTTTGCAGAGAAGTTCGCGACTTCTGTTGACTTTCAGGTGGCACCGCGCGCGCGATGAAACGGATGTCTCGTTTACAACATGTCGCAACGCAGGTTTCGAAGTGAAGTTGGCCACTCCCTTTTGGTTTTCACGGTCCCATGGAAGGGCCCGGAATACAGGTGAACCGATTGGCTTTTAGCATTCAATTTTCGACGTTAAACTGGCCATTCCGAATTGGTTTTCACGCGGCGACGCGCGCGCGTGCGCGAGCGCGCGCGATGGGGCACCTGCGTTGCTCGTAAACTATCATCGCGTGTTAAAGCCTAGAATGCAAGTGCAACACTGGGTTTGAAACCATTCAAGTTTCGAGGTTCGGTTATCAATTTACTTCTATCTTCCCATAGCGCCTCGCGAGCGCGCGCGAGAGAGACGCCTGTTCTTTGTCGCGAGATGTCACGTCGCCTTGCGGCCCAGAATACAAGTGAATATAATGGTTTCCCCAACCAAGTTTTCGAAGCTGACGCGGCCGCCCCCCGTCGGAAGCGCCGCGCGCGAGGAAAAACGCGCGCGGCTCCACCGCGGATCTTCGCGCGTTGGGGCCCAAGACACACGTGCGCGAGTTGGATGTAACCACTCAATGTTTGAAGGTAAGTCGGCCATTCCCCGCTGGTTCTCACTCGGCGACGCGCGCGCGCGATGAGGGGCCTGTAGTTTTGTACGTAACGTATGGAATGCTATGCTGGGGCCCAGAATACAAGTTAACCCAAACGTATTTTCGAAATTGAGTTGGCAATTCCCTACTGTTTTTTTGGGGGGGCACCGCGCGCGCGCGCACGCGAGGAGAAACCTGCGCTGCTTCACAATTCACAATGTCGCATTTCATGTTTGGGCTAGAATATACAAGTGGACCAACTCGTCATCACCATATCGCTTTCGAAATAACATTTGCCACCCTCCGTGGGCGTTCATGCAGCGCCGCGCGCGCGAGAAACCTGCGCTGCTCAATCCGTGCCATTTCATGTTAAGGACCAAAAGGCAAATCGCCCAATTAATTCTCCTTCCTAAAAAAGAAAATAAGCTCTACCCCCCCCGGCGTTATCGGTCTCCCTTTCGGGTAAATCATATATGATTATGATCGCATGTCCATCCGAAATATGAATTTGCACTATCCCCGGGGGGCCGGTATCGTTCCCCCTGAGGTTCCCCTGTAAAAAACAATACACGGGGACAGCGCTTTGCTCTAGCATACGACTTGTTCGCAAATCCCTTTGCAAAAAACGGGACGACGTGCACACGCGCGCGTCGCGGCGCGCGCATGCCGAAATCCTTCAAAAACCTTCGGTGTCGGAACGATTTCGCAATCGTGTGTCAAAAAAACATACAAGCACACAGGGTTTCGCAACACTGATTTGCTAAAAAAGCTTACGCGCGAGCTCTTGCGAAATCTTAAGAAAACCATAGCTTTTTCAATATTTTCACAAAATGCTACCAAACGGGCTTCGGGCGCGCGCATGTCGAAATCTGTCGAACGCCCTTGCGCGTGTGCCGTCGCGAGAATCCTCTGCAACGAATGAAACGAAGTGCAGACGCGCGCGTCGTCGCGCGCGTAATTATGCCGAAATCCTTCAACACCCATCGGTTTCGGAAGGATTTCAAAATCGTGTGTCCAAAAAACATGCAAAAACACAAATTTCGCAACACGGATTTTCAACAAAAGCGTGCGCGCGCCCTCTTGCGTCGTCGTCGTCGTTGTCGCCGTCTTCCCTCCTCCCGCGTCGTCGTCGTCGTCGCCTACGTCGTCCTGTGTCTTCCGCGTGTTCGTCGTCGTCGTCCTCTTTGGCGTCGTGGTCGTTTCCGTCGTCGTTGTCGCCGTGGTCGTCCTTCCTCCTCGTCGTCGTCGTCGTCGTCCGTCGTCGGCATCTCGTCGTCGTCCCTCCTATTTCGTCGCCGTTGTCGTCGTCGTCGTCGTTGTCGTCGTCGTCTTCCCGCCTCCCTCGTCGTTGTCGTCGTCGGCGTCGCCGTCCTTCCTCCTTCTTCGTCGTTCTCGTCGTCGCCGTCCTCCCTCGTCCCTCGTCGTTGTCGTCGTTGTCGTCGTTGTCGCCGTCGTCGTCCTCCCTCCTCCCCCGTCGTCGTCTTCGTTGGCGACGCCGTCGTCGTCGTCGTCGTCGTCGTCGGCGTCGTCGTCGTCTTCGTCGTCGTCGACGTCGGCGTCGTCGTCGTCGTCACCGCCGTCGTCGTCGTCGTCGTCATCGTCGTCGTCGTCATCATCGTCGTCGTCGTCGTCGGCGTCGTCGTCGTCAGTGTCGTCGTCGTTGTCGTCGTCGTTGTCGGCGTCGTCGAAGTCGTTGGAGACGTCGTCGGAGTCGTCGTAGTCGTTGTCGGCGGCGTCGTCGTCGTCGTTGTCGCTGTCGTCGTCGGCGTCGCCGTCGTTGCCAAATGCCATTTGGTACCCGCCGTCACGGTCTTAAGAGATTTTGCAAACCAAGTTGCGGGTGGGTGGGCGGGATGTTTGCGCGAGCAGTGGAGTGGGCAGCTTCAAGACAGTCAAAGCGAGCTTTCACCTCTTAGCTTTCGGAATGAAGTTGGCAATTCCCTATCGACGTTCACGCGGCGCCGCGAGCGCGAGGAGGAGCCTGCGTCGGTCGCCATGCAGCGTCGCACGTTGGGGCCTAGACTACAAGTCAAAGTACTGGCTGTCGCCGCACAGTTTTCGATGGTAAATCGACCATATCCCACCGATGCTCACCTGGCACCGCTCGCGCACGCGTGCGCGAGCGCGCGGGGGGGGCCGTGCCCCTGTTCAGCAATGTCCCATCCCATGCAGGGGTTCAGGTGAATCAATTGGTTATCTTGAAATTAAGTTGCCCATTGCCTCGCTGACTTCCAGGTTGCGCCGCCGCGCGCGCGCGCGATGGGACGGCCCATCGACGCGCAAATTGCGATCGCGCGCCCTGGCGCAGAGCTCAAGTGAACCCATCGCGTTTCACCGCTCCGTTTGTTTGAAATTAAAATGACCGCGCGTAAATTGGGGCCGCAACAGCGTAGTCAGCCCCCCAGGCTGAGAGACTCCTCGCGCATCGCGCGCGGGAACAAGATGGCCCGCAACGGGCCCGGGAGCAGTCAGATCGGAGTTGCGCGAGGGCCGTTTCGCGAGAATTGGGTTTGGCCCCTCTCGGCAGCAACTTGGCGCCCGCGCCAGGGGGGCCCCGGCGCAAGTCGGGGGCGAACTTTCGCCGGGCGGCGGGGCGGCCTCCGTGGCAGAAGTCGCAGGGCGACCTTTTGCCGGGCCAGGGGTTGGCGGGGCGGGGCCGGGGCGCGAACGCTTTTCCATTGCGCAAGGGCCCAATGGGACAACGGCCTCAAAAGGAGCGAGACGGCGCCCGACACGTTGGCGCCCGCAAGATCCGCGGTCCAAC